TTAATGAGAAGCAAGTTCTCATATTCAGTGCATCAGAAGCAGAAATTTTGATGCTTTAGCTTCCATTGATACATAACAGAGCTCCAAAGTTTCCATTTTTCCCCATTTGGGTTTTTCAATTTCTCTACTTGGGAACTTTTTGGAATTGGGTTTTTTTGAGATTTGAGGCTTTAAAGGTGTAATCTTTGGGGTATTATTACTTCAAATTTGGAAACTTTGAGAAGGATTTGTGTGTTTGAAGATGAGATACAATTCGATTTGGTTCTTGTGCAAGATTCCCAAAAGGAAAGAGGAAACAAAACTCTTCTTCTACTGAATCAATGACGACGACTACAACAACTACAAGAGTTGCTTCTTCTTCTTCAACTCGGAATCGAATTCTAAAAGATGCAAATGGAGACATTGGTGAGCATCTTCGTAACCATATCCATTTAACAAACTGTATTCACTTGAAGAACCATATGCATAAACAGAGTCCTGTTTTAACTGACCGTGCCTTAATGAGAGATCTCATTGTTCTTCAAAGGTCACGTTCTCTTAGAGATCCTTCTGCTTCCCCACCGGCTTGGAATACGCCTCCTTCGGTTATTGATTTGCTTCCTAAGAAAGGAGAGCATGTAGAAGGAAGAAGATCTGTTGATCAAAAGAAGTCTAAGTCCAGGTCTAGTCGTAGGTTGTCTGGTTTGAGTGGCTCTTCACCTCTTGTGAACTTTGGTACATCTAAAGTTACTCCTGATGATGAAGGGTTTGGTTCGGTTAGTTGCGAAATTGGAGGAGGTAGAGAGAGTGGTAGGAGAGTTAAGAGAGAAGAATCTAGTAGAAAGAGTTATAGAATTGAGGATGAGTATCGAAATGTGAACGAGGTTTCTGTTAACTCGGGGTCGAAAGATAGAGGTAGTAAAGCTAGTGGGAGGCTTAGTAGAATCAATGATGATATTGTTAAGACAATATCTGATCAGTTAAACGAGGTTGTTGTTGGTGATAGTGATGATGTGGTTTCATCTAATGTTCGTCCACGGGTTCGGTA